TTTTTGAATCCACATCACAAAGTCCACTGCATCCCCTGGAAAGGAATTGCCCAAGTGAAGTGTGCCTTATGAAGAGACATGTCACTCTGTTTCTATTGAACCCATTGCATTGGGGTTCATTTAAAGACATCTTTTGGATAGGAGGAGACAGTTTTCTGCTTTCAGCTCTCTAGCCTGCTGAGGACTGTTAAGATTTTTTTTTCTTCTTTTTCTGCACCATTTTTGAAAGGGAAATAGGAACTGTGCACAGTTCTAGACATGGATGCATTATGCATACATTTGCATAGTAATATTTGTTCTCTATTCTGCTCTCTATTCTCCAAAAATTCCTAACGTGATGTTGTTGTTTGACATTTGGTGAGCACTGGGCTGACATTATCTTAGAACTTACATTTAGTTAAGGAAATAAGTTTTTAGAGTGTAAGCCTTAGAATAACCTTGTCTTTATCCTCCTGTCTCTTCCTCGTGGCCTGGGTGGTTTTTAGAAGATGAGGTGATCTAAGGGACTGTGGATTCAGGCAGTTTCCTGCTACTCCCTCCCACAACCTCCTATCAGCAGCTGATGAAGGTGTGCAAGCTCTATGCACTTTGGTAGGACTGTCCAAGACTGGTTTATGTCCACTCCTCCCATCATTTAGCTGGCTTCATTTGTTTAATTTTGTAAGGTGTTACTTCCCTTGCATGTTCATTTTATTTAGCCCTATTGCACTTCTTACATGACTTCATCTCTTCCTTCAAAGCTGCATCTGTGTGCCTCTCGTATTTCCTTGTCTTTGCTACAGTGGCTTTTCTGAGGGATATCTGAGTTTTCTGGGCAGTGAAGCCTTTTATTTGAGTTAATGCAGTTTTTCAATGTGAGATTTCTTTTTGTTTTGAATACACTATTTACTTTCCTAAAAGAAGTGGGGATACTGCCCAAGATGCACATATAAAATAGTGTGCTTTTTGAAAGGGCAAAGAATATTTTCTTTCATTCAAATGTACTGTTTCCTTGTAACTTTATTTCCTAGTATTGGCCCTAAGGGGGGAAGTCTTAGCCTGAATAAATGTTGAATGCTAAATGTGATAGACTGAAGGATTCGTGCTTTTCCTTGTGATGAAGGAGTTAACTATAACTCACAGTCTCTCTCCTCTTGCAGAACTACTCAAGATGAAGCTATTTCTTGGAAGAATACCCTTAGGAAGTTAGTGACCTAGAATGAGCTTGGCATAGAATTGCCTTTTAGCCTTAACTGTGATATTTGCTGCTGCAGTCTCCTAGACAAATGGGTTTTGACAGGCTTTGCAAACAGCCTGAGGTCAGAGCCTGTGAGCTTTCCTTGGGCAAGTAAAAGCTGTGGAGTTGGGAACTTAATACATTTCTTGAGACAAACATCAAAATTCCCAAAGCCGGGGATGGTGCACCGTGGGACAGTGCCAGGCAAATGCAGACAGCACTGTGGAAAGGACATGGCAAGCAGAGAAACACAGTCCTTGCCAGGGATGGTTCATAAAGTTCAAGCTCTGCTTTGAACTGGAATGAGGGTCGTCTTTTTAATATCCCTTGACACAAGGCCCAGAAGAGAGCAGGTGATGGCACACCAAACTGGCACCATGCCTTGGGCATCAAAATATGCTTTTGTGGCCCCTACATCTTCACCACAAACTGCTTAGCAACCTAGAGGTAGGATTTTGCTGTGGGAGCAAGGGAGAGCAGCAGAGAGAGCTGATAACTAAGCTTTTCCTCAGTGTGTTTCCTCTGTGCACACTGAACTGAGAGTAGTGGGGCAGCCCGAGGGGGATGCAGTGCTTCAGGATCCACTTCCTTCTACTTATAAGAGGAAGGATTTTCTTCCCACCCCAGCTGTTTGTTCAGGCACCAAGCTCAGAATTTGTTTCTTACAAGTATCCCAGTAGTTAGGACTGCTTGGTTATCTCCTGTGCATACACAGGAGGGGGATGATGTATAAAAGATGCATACTGGAAGAATGTAATCTGCCCCCTAAAAAACACTCATTCTTGCAGATCCTTAGATCTTTTTTTTTCCCCTTGGTATTTTTTTCAAGTTTAGGATTTTTGTAACTGAAGGAGAATTCAAATAAATCAGCAACCAGAGTAAATGCCAAACAGCCACAGTTAAACTTTCTCAGTGTTTTAAACTAATGGACCCACTTTTCAAGATATTGTGCCTAACAGGATTTGATTGTGCTTTCTCAGACAGAGGATTTCTGTCAGTACCTCTGCCAAATGCACGGTCTCGCAGAGGGAGGATTTGATAGAGATCCAGGTTAAGTCAGCCTCCATTCAGAGACAGCAACTGCCAGCCCCACACAGGCTGCAGCAGGGCCACCCAAATGTCAAGTTTCCACTGAGGAAGGCCAAGTTCCCCATATTCTTTTTAATTTTTGCAGCCGTAGCAGGGCTGTGTCCTTGGGTTCTTTCCATGCCAAATAAAGCGTCTGCACATTTTGTCTAGTTCATTTTTGTACGCCTGAGGCCTTTATAGCAGAGGCACCTGCAAAAATAGAAGTCTGAAGAAAGAGAGAGATCTATTTCTGACAGGTTAACCAACTTGAGGAGTAAGAAATTATTGTGCTAGATCTGTAAATACATTTGCAGCTTGCCTTGCAAGGGCAGCTTGTGAAAATTAAGCTGGCTGGGAATATCCTGAGCCCTAGGCATAGAGCACCCTCTGAGACCCAGCTAATATAAAAGGCTCCGAGGCAGATCCTGCCATCCAGCACAGCTCTGTAAATCTGGAGTAACACAGGCTGCTTCAGGGATGTTACTTCAGATCCACTTCACCCTACAGAAGAGCAGAATTCAAATGAATTACCCATGAAGAGAGACTAAAGAACATGTGCAGTAAATAATACATTTCTGGATTTTCTGCCCTTCCATGACTCTCTCTCATAAATGTTTCAGCCTCACTTTGAATGCTGCTTCGCTGTGTCAGCCAAAAAAACCAGACTGAGCAAGTGCATTTCAGTGTCATCCACATCTGAGGCTGTTAATGGCTCAGGGAGAGGCAGAAGCACAGACAAAACCATGATTTCTAGGAGCATGACATTGTCCTCACCAGAGCCATAATGCCTCAAGACACATTCTGTGACAGCTCTTGGTCAGATACAGTTCCCTTTTTGTTTATTTTTTTAACTCTTGTAGCACTGAAAAATAGGTAGGAGAGAGGGGAAGCAATTTTTTATTAATAAAAATCAGTTTGGTCCCAGAGTGTCAATTGAAGCATTTCAGCATTTATGAAAATATTAATTTTATTCTGAAGAAGTCAGTATGAAGTCTCACAGTATTTCTCATCCTACACTATCCTGCCACCTGGGGTGGCACTTGACACCAACCTTCAGTAGTTTTGGTTCCTCCAAATTTTTCAGGGGATGTTATCCAGTGCATAATGAATCTTATTCTGTCTTTTATTTTTTACATTACAGTTTAATTCTTTCTACTAATTTTATTTCAGTAGCTTTACAATCTCTATTACAATACCCTTCAGACGTGAGATACCTGAATAGAATTAGCCTCTGTCACCATAAGGTGACCTTGCTCCATAAGGTCAGGCTGTGATCCCCACAACTGGATGCCCCTGAACACTCCCCAGCTTTATTACACATGTTCTTGATGCTCCTGAGCAGTTGCCCAACACTAACTTGGGAGCAAAACACCTTGGTGAGATTTGAGGAGCTATATCCACACCTGGAGCTACATCCATACCTGAAATATCCTTTCAGCTACCTGAAATATCCTTTAGAGAAAATCTCAAACTGCTCAGTTTTATTAGTCTGCTTTCTTACTGAGGTGACTGTCTTATTTTAAATGTTTTTTATCAATATGAAATACTGTTTAGTTTTGCTCAGTCTTGCACTTTCCAAGTCTGTACCATGCAGATTCTTTCCCCCATTTTCCTCCAGATGTAGCATATTGTAATTCATTGCTCGTGACTGCCAAGAAATGACATTTCCAAGACTCTCCATAGTAAATGAGATGAGCCTCTTAAATAGGGCAGGGACAAAACCTCAGTCACAGATTTGTGCATCTCTCTGACATGTCCAGCCAGAAAAAGAGAGATCTTGGTCTCGGTAGAACAAATGGCCACCTGCACATTCTCACTGTCTGAGAAATACCTCCTCCATCTTGTCAGTTCTGCTGGTACTTGCTCTCCTGTGTTCTCCATTAGGACTGTCTTTTTATTGCCAGAACCAAGAAAAAAAAGAATATGGCCCTCCTATGTTCTTGATAGCTGTAGACTTTTTCCACATGTAGGGGGTTTACTAATTTTACTATCTATTTCGCAGGTTTGTTTTAAAACATTTTTAATAATAGAGTTGCACTGATGAGACCTAGTATATGAGCAGGTATAAATTGTTCTTGCCCTTTTTGCAGCTTAATATTCTTTTCTGTTTAGAGTGACAAATCCTAGATCCACAAAGGTGAGGGGTTTTAATAGAACTGGCACAGCTGCAATGATCAGGCAAAGGGATGCAGACAAAACCCAACATTTTTTTGTTGTCAAGAGTCAAAATGCGAGTTACCTGGAGGGGCAGATTTTCATAGTGTGCTGTACATTTCCAGTGTTTATCAGCCTGCCTACTGAGAAGCAGAAAATTTGTGGTTTTACCTGTCATCAAGAGTCACCTTGAAACCCCATAATGAAATATCAATAATTGAGAGTAGCTGTTTGCTAAAAAGATTAGTGACAGGCATGAACTAAGTTACCAGTAGCTTTGAATGTATTTTATGTCTTGGACATTTTGCTAGCAGACTTCAGTCTTTCATTGAGTTAGGCAATAGGAGCACTGGATTTGGACACTTATGCACAGAAGAATAGTAGGATTTTTTTGGGGTGCTGGAGGGGAGAAAGTGGAACTTATTTTTTTTTGTAATGAGTGTACCATTATGTTCCTTGGTTAGCACAAAAGCATAATTCTCTTTACAAGTGGAGAGGTCTGCTTCAGTTTATTCTTTTTGCAGTATGCAGTATATAAAAAGAAAGAAGATGAGATAATTCTTCCTGGAGAAAATCCAGAATTTTAATTAAATGGCATTTTCACATTTATTTCTTACTGGCTGGAGTTCATGGCCATACTGGCCATACTTGCTTTCATGTTAAGAGCTTTCCAGATGACCTTCTCTACAAATGCCTTTTTTTCTGCCATTAGAGGTCCTAAAACCAATAAAGAATGGAGACAAAACATACCTATTAATTTGGGACTAGAACATTTTCACAAGCTGGACCTCAGTGTCTGGTCCCTGAAACCCAGTGTGGGGGATAGCATGTTTTACTGTTAATGTTAGGCAGACATTTCTCTACCTTGGCATGTTGTCTTTAAATCCAGTGTACTCAAAAATCACCAAGTTTCTCAAAGTCATGAGGTCACTTTATGATCTGTAGTCTTTCAGATAGTACATCATGTTTATGTACTTCTGCATCTCCTTTTTTTTAGACTTCTTGCCATTTGATTCATGTTTTCATGCTTTTCACTTTAACAGTTTCTAATTCAAAGTAAAAATGAGGGGTGTTTGAAAATGGACATTCTTATGTAAGCTGTTTCTGCCAATAGCTGTAACTTTACTTAAATCAACACAACATCAACATGAACCACATGAAATCTGACACTGTTACAGAGGCCTAGGTCTGAGAATAAAGGCTTAGGTTTTTTAAAAAATTACATCACAAACTTCAAAACCCTTTCTGTAATTAATTGCTACTAAACACAGCAACATTTGCTGATAAATGAAGTGGCCTAATTTTGAACTCCAATCAGAGATTGTCAATTGTTTGTTTTATGTACCTAGTTCAATTTTGCTGCTGAGGTAGACAGTCATTTATTTAATGACACATCCTCATTCTCATTTTCACTGCTACCACTTTAGGAAGCAAATATGAAAATGTAAAAAAGCCTTTCCCTGTCAGGCATGTCATCAGGAACCAGTACTTGCAAAATAAACCTGAGGCTTCTGTTATTGTAGTAGCCCAGCTGGGTTGTTCTGCAGTCCTCCAGTGCCATAGAAAGAAATGGATGGAGGTACTTGGGAACTGAAATTAAATTCTCCTCTTCCCATTTGCCTCTATATTCTTTCTCCCTGTTAAAAATCAAATATTGATTTTCCTCATTTTGCTGAGTCTACAGTTTTTGCTGGCATGTAATTGTTGTAGACGTGTTCACAAGATCTAGCAGTAAAAATCCAGGAAAACAATTTTTCATCAAAATTTGCCCACATATTGAAAGTAAGATAGCCCAGAGGAAAAGGCTGTTTCTTATGATGGGTGACAAGGAAGCAGAGCCCAGCACCTTGCCATGGGCAGCTTGGCCTGGGGACCTCCCTCATCACTGCCTGTGTGAGCATCCCAGCTCTGTTCCAGAGAGCACAGGAAATGGTGGGTCTGACTGAAAGCAAATTCAGAAACCTTGGAAAGTCCTCAAAATGAAATCACCACTGTCTGCCAAGTCTGAGCATCATGTTACATCTAATCTTGAAAGAAACTGCCAAAATTGTATATTTTATAGAAAAGACGGACATCTCCTTGCAATTAGCAAATTATGGTCTCATTGTTCTTATTTTGCTTATCAAGTTCTTTTCCAGCGGCAAGACCTATTTTGTTTCACCCTTTCCTCTCGTTGCTGATTTAAGAGTTGTTCTTGGCACTAGAGAATCTTAAGAGTTTTGTCACGGGCTGCACACAGAAGGTTGTTCCAGCAGCAGGAGCTGGCCCAAACCACACAACTCAAAGTTATTTCCTTAGCGTCAGCACCGGGCTCTGCTCCTGGGCTGGTGCGTGGGCGAATGTGTGCAGACACCACAGACTGACCGCGGGTTGCTGCACCAGGAAATTCATGTTTCCTTTGCTTCTGCAAGCCAAGGAATCAGCAGCAAACTGCCCTGAAGAAGTGCCTCTTGCCACTGTCCAGGAGCTTGCTGTGGCAGCCAAGGATCCATCAGCTGGACTGCATGGGCTCAGGGAGCATCAGACCAAGTGATCTTCCAGGCTCTGTGGTCTGTTGACTGATTGTAAGTGAAGGCAGCTCTTGGCACCACAGATGATCAGTTTTTGTTAAGTATGACACATACACAAACTAGGTAAGACAAGGGTTTACAAGGCAACCTGTCCAATGTGAAATTTACTGCAAGGCTTACTTTTTAATTGACATAATGAATTCTATGAGTCTGCCCACTTGAAGTATTTTGATTATTAAACTCTGTTTACTGCTTGGCTCTTGATTTCTAAGCAGGCAAAGTGTGTGCCAATAAGAGGAAAAGCAAAAGAAGATGACTCTAATGCAATTACCTGTTGTCTCTACAGGACATGTTTGCATCCAACATTTTGATTTGGCTATAGCTTTTGACCACTTTTGGTTTGTTCAGTAATCCCAAACTAGATGTATAAAGGGTGATCCATCTCCCAAGCAGCCTCCCTAGGGCTTGTACTCAGGTATAAATGTCTGATGTTGTCCATCTTGAACTCCTGATACATCAAAGCACCAGTTGATTTTCTTTTGGAGCTGCACTTAAATTTTTTGTGTAATTATTATTACAGTAAGTGATAAAAAAGAGACTGTAAAAAACCTCAGTTTTCACCTAATAGCATAATAACAGGTGAATAAAAAATACCATGAAAATATAATACTGAGGGATGTAATCCTTTATGGCTCATTTATCCCTATAAAAATGTAAGCAACATTATTAAATTATTTGTTATCAGTCTGTAAGACTGAGGGACTAATAAATGCAGAGCAATCTTTTGAGTAATTGCACAAAATAGATTAGATATTTTAAAATATATTTAGTATTTTTATAATATGCAAATTTTCAAAAAGTCAATTACTTTCACCTTTTTCTCAGTTTGTAACACAAAATTACCATTGGTGTAAATAAATATCACAATAGTATTACCAAAGGTGATGGACTCTAAGAAAGGTCATTGTGCAGCTACTTAGAAACTGAGTAATGCATTCAGTCCTCAGGCTGGTCTGTCTGTAACTTAGGTTCAAGCTAAGAAGAACCTTGCAAACAATCCTGGCACCTGTGTCTGTTCTGTGTAGTGAAAATTCTGCTGCAGCCTTCCAGCCTACTCAGCAGAAAGATATAGAAGATTTATTATTAATATTAGAGTTAACATCTTCAAAATATTATAGAGAGACTTCTGAAAATTTAAATTCTTATTCCTTCGGGACTAGATCATCTTTTAACACAGCATCCTACACAATGGGGTCTCTCAGTCTGTGAACAAAGAAGCTGTCTTGGAAAAGTGTGCTGTTGGATTTAACTCATTTGAGGAAACTGCAGATGGTAGCAAGTTTGTTCTTGGCTGTCATCTCTGTGCCTAAAGCCAGATCTTGGGGGAATCTTGGAAGAGCTGGGCACTGGGGTTGGGCTCCTGGAAGGGATTTTAGCCTGGCTACCCTTTGGGATTATTTTCCTTCCACTTAACTCCAGTTTAAAATTGATACATGACATCTAAATTAATTATCAAGAAACCCTCTTTAATCAGTAGAGAAAGCAAGCATTTCTAGATAGTGATTTACCCATATTGGTTTAATACTTGCCATTGATTACCTCTGGAAATGTACTCTGCTCACCAGCAGAAGAAACTTAGACAACTGCCTTAGTTGTGACTGCTGTTCAGGTGGCCACAGTTAACAGAGGTGGATCCTCTTCCATGTGTCTAAAGCATAATCATCTCCAAGAGTGATAGCTAATTAAAAAAAATAAGTTAAAAATTAGCAGCTGTAAAGATAGCAAACCCACTATGGCTTCTATCTCAAGTAATGCAGCCAGATTGTTTTTCCAAAACATCCTTCCAAAGCACCTGGTGAATAAGCAGCTGTGAGCTGCCTGAAGGGTGTGCTGGAGTTCACACTTTCCAGGGACTGTGTTTGGAGTTCTTATTCAGACCTTTCCAATCAAATCAATGGAAATTATGGCAAAGATCTGCAAATTCAAACCCCCCTCTAAGATGCTGACAGGGGCAAGTCCTCCTGTACATTTCTGTAAGACTGTCAGGTGATGGCTTAATGAGGGTATTGCTGCTGGGCGCTTTCTGACTGGGTTTTTTGCAGACCAGCTGTGCTGCAGCATGAGGAAAAGAAGGCATTAACAAATCATAACACAATGAAGGAAATAAAAATATGTTTCTTTGTGCATTGATACACTTTATTCAGGGCAGACACGTGCAGTTTGCATAGCTTAAAAACATGAGCTTAAAAACATGTTACCTATTTGCAAAACACTCCTTTTGTACTCTCTTCCAATATGTTTGCAGTTTGACTCAAACTGCTTGAGATAAAATGAGATAGAAAGTCAGAGTCTGAAAGCTCTCACTCACATGTCACCTTCCAGCTGTTATGGAAACCTAGACTGTTACTGTTCTTGTCTAGGATGCCTGAACATAGCTCCATTCTTTTCTGGGGATATCAGAAATGGAAGCTTTTGCATTTCAATCAGCAGTATTACAGCTCAATGAACATCTTCCAGGCAGCACCTGGAAGCACTTACACGTGGACTGAGAGATACCCTCAACATTTCTGTGCTACAGGATTTAGCATGAAGGTTGATAAACCTTCTGTCCCCGTTTAGGCTTCAGGTTAACACATGGAGAGGAATGCTGCCATTGTTTCTCTGTGCCACTGATGGCACCTCACTAACAGGACAAAGCCCAGCCTGCAGCCAACACCAACTGCATCAACTGAGACTTGCTTTAAAAGTACTCTGAATAGCATTTCAAGGCTTTATTTTCTTCCATTTTCCATGAGCTGGGAGAGGAATAAACTAGGTTGTTTAGTAAGTGCTATCAACCAAAAGGTGACCTGTTCTGAATCTGACCTTTTAACTCAGCTTCATGGGTGGGTTTGGCTCAAAGCACTGTGCCTGGATTGTGAAATTCAAAGAAACAGGTGGAGTTACATTATAAGGTATTTATTTGTGTTATGCTGGAATTCCTTTGCTCTTGCCTGAGGCTTTGGAAGCTTTCAAAGTTTAAACTGCTTCATTCTTGCATGAAACATTTTGTCCTTACATTTTTCTCCTGTCACAGGAGTTAGTGGAACCTGAAATGTTGACCATGTCTAAATAGACAACTGAAAGTAATTCTATGTTTTGTGGTGCTCAAAGCATCATTGTGTGCTAGTTTTGCATGAAAGATGGGTAAACATGAGGAAAACATACCAGCATGCTTAGCCACCACTCTTTGTTGAGCCCAATTCCATGAGGAGAAGAGTTTATCTGCTGGATGTAACCACAGGGGCAAAGTCTGAATGGCCACCATGAGGAAACAATATTGGTAAAACCAACCAATCCAGTTAAAAGCCATATAGGAAGGAAAGTAGGAACAACAGGGATAGATGCTTTCCCTTTGGTTTTTTTTTAATTTGTGTGTACTAAGTTATGTTGATATTAGAGGGAAGTGTGCTCCACAATCCACATCCCCTTCTGGCTCATGCTCTGGAATTCAGTTCCCTTGGAAACCAAACACACATTTACTCTGTTACTAAGTGAAACAAGTGCATTGACAATTATTTCCTAAATGGTACTGCACCATAGGTTTTAATTTTATCTTTTGAAGAGGTATTAGGTAACATATTTTTATATGGTACATATATCTACAGCAAACCTTCTTTTCTAGGTTTTTAACACTATGTTAAAAAGTAGTATAAATGAAGATGTCCATGTCTCTGAAATTCCAAACATTTCCTCTCTAAACCAATATATTTTCATTCTTCTTTGAGATAAATATCACTTGTGGTCAATTACCATATTTGTATACACATTTTTTAACATTTACCTAAATTCTGAAGGAATTATATTCCCAGTTTAGTGTCCAAAATATAATAAATAATACATAATTTAAAAACCTGGCATAGTCATAATTTAAAATAAAGGCATCACATGTCATTAAAACAGCATTTATGCAATTTAAAAAATTCTCTTTTCTCACCCTAGATTTGGGCAATGGTCAGGTATCACTTGTGTTCTGGAAGAGGTTGCTATCATCATCTTAGCTGAAAATTAAAGCATTTTCCAGAATGTCACAGGAAATTTTAAATGACACAGCAGAAATAGTAATAGATTCTGATGCTATCAAAGAAAGCATAAGTGGTAATCAAGATGATTGGAGTGATGCCTGAACACAGTGTGAAATCTTTAGCACTCAAAGTAGACAGAGAATTAGACACTGGGAGATGTTTTGGACAACACAACAGAGAATACTCTTCATGTCCTCTGTTGTAACCAATTTTATATGCTTGATACCAATTTATTATGATTTACTGAGAGCAGGTAACTGGAAGGCTCCAAGCAGAATAATCTGTTACTCCTTCCTTTCTCTGAAGTTTAAACAATGTGCTGTGCATTTAAAAAAACCCCACAATTTTCTGTCTCTTGAAAATAATGCAAAACCTAAGTGATTTTCATTAAAGATGTCCTTCCCCTTTAATATGTACATAGGATTATCATTGATCTATACTACAAATCAGATGTGGTGTTGATGTGGGAAGACTCCCAAATCTTTGTTCTTCTTTCTTAGCAGGCTCTTGGGAAGTGTCATCATTGACTTTACCTTCAAAAAGGAAAGTACCCTAATGAGATACTGCAGTGGAAGTTTGCTTGGCTAAGTTTGCTTGGGACCATTCTTGTTATTTAACCTCATCTCTCATTCACTCCTTTGAATGACAGCAGGTCAGCAGCAATGCAGGCTCTACAGAAGAAGCTTCTTTAGAAAATTTGTTCTTTTCAGGAACATCTTGAAGACCCTCGACAGCAAGAATATATACAATCTTCTTGGCTAAAACTGACAGCTTGAAAGACTTAACTCAGGCTGCAAGCAAATGGAAGCAAACCAGTATTTTCTTCCTAGGTAGCCACTGTTGAAACTGGCTGTTTCCCTTCACTTGCTGTTTTCAGCCAGCACTTCTGTTACTGCAATAATAATAGTAATAATAATAATAGTAATAATAATAATAATAATAGTAAGCTCATGCCATGGCTTTACAAGAGCAAATGGATGCCACCGATTCTTTCTATTCCCAAATAAGCAGAGAAGTTGTTACCCTCCTTAGTAGCACAAAAGTTTCCTGAGGAGTTGTCCTTAAATATAATTAAAACAACAACAAAAAAAATTGTTAATATTTCAGTCTCATTCTGCCATCCAAATTAGACTGTGGATAAGGATTTAAGGAAGGGTGTGCCAAACACTGAGGACTGTTAGTAGTCCAAGTCAATTAGAGCAATTAGTGCCTAATTAAGTGTTAATTTATGCTCTGTGTAATCTCACAGAGAGTAGAAATTTGGCTCAGGTTAATTGGAAAACAAAATTTTTGCCATTACATGTGGAAACATCTATTAATTTCATACATACAAAACCTATTTTGTTTTATATGAGTCGAGGGCACTGTAAAACAAGGCTAAACTCCTGTCCTGGTTTAGCTGGCTTCCTCTTACAGTTTCAAAAATCTCACTTTTTTTCCTGTACCCTGAGAAGTCACAGCATATACTGAAGACAAGCTGTCTGGCAGCCAATTTTCCATGTTTCCATCAAAGGGCAAACTTAAGTGTCTTCTGAAATAGCAGAGTTGAGAATTTATTGATTCTCACAATCTCTCTGTTCCCTGCTTCACAGAATAAATAGAGGTTTTAGCTAGAGCTGGGTTAACCAGGAGCCAGGCTTTTAAACAAGAGAAATTCCTGACTTCCCTGCATGCTACAGCAAACACAAACAGCTTTCTTGTCCTTGCAGGAAATGCATCTTAAATCCCAAGCAGAAGTAATGTTAAACTTTGGAGACTTGACCTCTGCAGAGACCTGCCAGTCACCTCTGACGCAGCCCATGGGAACGCTCAAATTGCCACACCTGATTTGTGTTCTTGTTACATGCAGACAGAAACAAGTCCTTCTCATCTTCACTCTTTGCTGCCTCTATGCATTTGCCAGAAAGGATATGGACAATCATTCCATTCTACAAGATGAGAGAAGAAGGGAAAGAAAGAACAAATTAAAAGTAAGGGATTTCCAGTAAAAGCTAGGCCATGTTTCAGAAAATTTATATACAATATATCACCAGTAATAACTGGTTGTTCAGGTTTTTTTTTAAGCAATGCTCCAAACACAATGACTGGATTTAGCTGTGTGCCCAGAGCATGGTGAATATTCATAGTTCCTTTTGAAGCTAACATGAGTGGTAGGTGCTGAGTTCTCTTCCACCACTGTTTCTTTCCTATGGCTACAGGTTGTCATCAGCACCACCTCAGTACCACAGGCCAAAACATTTCATAAGGACCAGTGCTTGCCTAAGGAATCAAACCAAATTACAGTAGGGCTGTTCCAGAGGATTGCTGGATCCCTACAACTACAGTAACTGCATTTTCCCAGGCTGTACCAGAGCATGACATTTTTCAGTCTTGTTGAGGAGTTCCTGCTCTGCTGAGTAAAGTTCACTGAAAAACAGTGAATTTCTCTAATAGGAAGTTTGTTCTTCTCTTACAATGCAGGAGAAAATTTAATGTTTCCCATTGTAAGCTCCACAAAGGGCTCTCATTTAGGAGCGGTCAGGATTTCCAAACCTTCCCTCAATCTGAAGGAAATGGGAAAGGATTTGCCCTGCTCTTATTTTCACAACCACTGATTCTGATTCTATTCCAATAAGGCCAGTAAGGCGAACAGGTAAAACAAAGACACAGGATTTTAGGTAGGATTTCTGTCATTGTATTTCTAAACCAAATGCTTTTTACATAGACAGTGTTAGTGGGCTTGAGACATGCTATTTTTTCTGGGTTAAAAAGGTACAGAAGTGAAATTTGCCCTTCAAGTACCTCATCTCTTCCTTACACACAAATCTGGAAATCACCCAGTGATCCCACAGTCACCATCAGCTGCCTTTCCCCCATGGCAGAGCCACCACTGACCTCCTGGACATCCCAGTGCTGGTTGCTGTTGTCTGTCTCCTTTGTACAGTTTTGAGGGATAACCTTCCCGTGTCTGACATCAAAGCAAAGCCGTGGAGCAGAACCAAGCAAGATTTCCTTCATGTTATATTCAAAGTGCTGGGAAAGGAAGGGTTTGTTTGAACAATGATAGATGGACATCCCAGTTCATTTTTAAAGGCTAATCCTAAAGACAATTTCCTGTACGTGTTTGTTAAGATGCAATCCAAACATGAGTTACAGAGAGCCAACAGCCTTGACCCTTCAAGCAGTTCCCCCTGCTAGCTAATTCTGGCATAACTATTTACCCAAGGAAAGGCTTTGTGAACTATGATTATGTGTGACATAAACCCACCCTGTCATAAAATTTTCCAGTTTCATAAATATTTGAATAGAAGGGTGTTTCTGACAGTGTCTTCACATGCTGCAGTTTGAAATGTGCTTGCATCTCAACCCGAGCTAGACCGATGCCAGCTAGGGAGTGTAAATTAATATTCTCTTGCCATAGACTGCAGTTTAGGCATTAATCTTCAGATTAAGTCACTAAGGGAGAATCCCCTCCTCCCCCTCTATATTTTGGAACAGTTAAGTATTTTTTACTCACAAGCTTTCTCTTCCCCAGACACTACCAAATATACTAAACAAATAAGTGCTTAATTTTGTCTTCTGGAGCAAAGTGCGGGTATCTGCCCCAGTGACACATGGAGACATTGGCATTTTTTGAGTGGCACTTAGCTGTGGAAGAGTGGGCATTGTTGCTTTAGCACATGCTAATTTTGAACATGCCAGCCCCTTACATGTTGGGGTGCCTGTTTTCAGCATGGCTCCCTAGGTCTCACACAGTGCCTAAACACTCAAAGTATACCTGGGTGGGACTGTCACTGCAAGGGGAGAGCTCAATAGACCCTTCTGCAGTAGCTCTTCCAGGCCTGTAATCTGCACAGAAGCCAACACCAGTATTGTAAAGCTGTAAGAAAACGTTTATACTGAAATAAGTCACAATTGGATACAAACAAAATATCCTTCACCTAACATTTTGTGATTGTTTCCCTTTATGATATATGATTTTGTTCATAAATCAGGTACTATTTCTTTTCTTTCAGACTTGGTCTTGCATATTGATCTTGCAAACTAATGTGATATAAGAGGCAGTGTTTCACCCAGGCTCAGTTATCCAGTGAGTTTTGTTTAAATTAGAGAGATCCACTTCTGGATTTAACTATTATGATAATTAAAAGAAAGGTATCTAAATGTTTATGCTAGTGAAAAATTGCACTTCAACAGGACACTGTAGTCAGAAAAAACACAAGATATTCCAGAAGAAACGTCACAATTCCTGTGATCCAAACTCAGTTCTTAAACTTTTCTCAAGCTTTATTTTCTGAAAATAAAGAGCACATAAAATAGTAAAAGGACACAGTAAAATCTGGCTAAAGATAGCTGAGTGTGAATTAATTAGTAGACCTTGTTGCCTTGCTGGGGGAAACTCCCTTCCAGTAAGGCTGCTGGGAATAAATTAATATTCAATGAATTATAATTATCAACTCTGTGTTTAAAAAAAACCCCAGGCATTCCATGTCCTGTACACAGTCAGCCAGGGAACTGCTATTGCTATCACTTCTCTCCTTCAGGAAGTGCAGGACTGAAGAAATCCTTTTTTTCTCTTTGTGCACATGGGTCAGCACAGAGATATCTGGCTGCTGTCACTTCTGCCATCTGCACGAGGCAACACAGTTCTTTTCCCTTACTAATGGCACCTGAAGAACCTCAGGTTAGGATCCTCTGAGCTGTGACACTGAACGAGTCAGACACTCTGGGTTCAGTTCCTGGCTGGTTTTCTGCATTTCTGTGAGAATTTGGAACAGCTCTTTGTCTTTTTCTTTCTCCTCCCACCCTGGTTGCATTGCCTGTTTGGACCAAGTACTCAGGACATGGAAGGGACACTGGAGTCTTTGAACAATGCAAAAAAAGATCATTCTTAATAGTGTGTTTTCTCTTACCTTGCCAGAGAATCTTGGTGTGTCTCCAGATTGGGAGAGTTCAGGGTACACATTTGATAGAAACCACTGGAAATTTCTACAGCCCAGTCTCTTCTGTAGCTGAAGGCGCTCGCTGCAGTCTGGCTTCTCTGCCTTTATGGAGAAAGGGAGAAGGGCAGCAAGGATATTGGTGTATTTGTGTTAGAGATGCTAGGAGTTGAAATGACTACACAGGAATTTTGTCTACCGCCTTTTCTATCCTGAATGTTATAGATATTTAAATCTATCTCTTATGACATATGCAAAGGGGGAGATCCAGCTATAGCCTTCCTCAAACTTGGTGCTAAAACAGCCACAGTCTGGCGTCGAGACAGAAGTGTTTCGGAAGTGGCACACATTGTGAAAATAAGTATGTGCTCTAAAAATTATTATTATTATACTGCAAGATAAGGCAGTCTTTGTCATATTTTTATTTTAAAAAAGTCAGGATCAAGTTTGATAGTTGTTGCACTGAAATTCAGTGGGATTGTATTAGATTGCCATTTAATACAGAATTTTTCTCACTGATAAAAACTCAATTTCCTGGCCTTTAACAGCCCAAATTACCCAGTTACTGTCAGTCCTCTATGATCAGAGGGAATAAGCGATGACAGAATTTAACCCAAAATATAGTCTATCACCTATTATCTGTCTATTATCTGACAGTTACTAAATCTAATGAACAAAGGTGCTCTGCAGCTATAATACATTAAACCTTTCCTATGATTTCTCCATTTTCTTGAATTATAAAGACACAATATCAGCTCTCAACTTTCCTGGTAGCAACTCTGTTATGAAAAAAAGACAAATGCCTTCAACCCTTGGTGCAGCTACAGGCATCTGTACTGCAAAGGCTGACAGGCTGAATATTTGAGGGTATTTAGCACTAAAGATGACTAAAGGGATTCTCAAAACCTCTAAGCACTTATGTGTCTAATTCTGCAGTTTCAAAACCACACAAAACGCTTTTCTAAATCTCTCAGTGCCCAAATATTAAAAACATCTAACAACCCTTAAAAGTTTCTCTCCTCTTTCTTACCAGCAGAAGTAGATCTCCCCTCTTCATGTTTCTATTTTTTAAAAAATGCAGTTTGGGATGGGATTCCAGGAAACTGGTCTGGATTTCTTCATCAAAAATTCAAATTGGCAATGTAAGCAGAGAATTGCCCGTAAATAACTTTTTCCCAGACCAGCTATTTCTCTGTATCCATAAGAAAGAAAAGGACTTTGCATAATGGAAAACACTGACAAATGAAGGGCCTTGGTGATCCAAGGTGAGGTGTCAGTCTCTTAAGGCAAGGATCAATCATTCCGTATGGCACTGTTTGCCAGCCTTTGTGAACTCCACAGGCAAAGCTCAACAGTTGCAGTACCTTAAAGAGAACCTCATACTTCAGTGTCAGTCTTAGATTCAATAAGCATAACAACAAAGCTTAGCAATTCTGCACCACACAAACCTGTCCCCCAGAGGTTTTCTTGGAAAAGGGAGAGAGAGAAGTAAAATGCTTCCCCTAAAAAGAGAGGTTTCTCGTGAGACCTTGCCCTGGCTGAGGAAGGCAGTGACAGTAAATCTCATTTTATCATACTAGTTACAGTCTGCATTTGATGCTGAATAAATGGGGTAAATAATGTAAAGAAAGTCATTGTCCCTGTAAACCAATCTGAAAGGAAACTGTGCTTGTAGATTCAATATGCAAACCACACAAGAAAAGGAGCCAAAAAGCTGATGGCTGAACTAGTACAGAGCTGGGAAGAGCTTAATTCATCTGTTTAATGCTCACACCACAGGCATTCTGTGCAAGATGTGATTCAGACCATAAACCAAGAAGAGTTATAAAGCCAGCTAAATGGAGGTCACTGGTTGTTTTCTGCAGTGAGCAATGGTGGCGGTGAAGACTCACGGAGAATTCTATAGTGGCCCATAGGTGGCTCTGCTCACCCTCTCAGCGCAATAAATCCCCTCAGGGCCCTTTGCCGCTGAGCGGCAATAATGTCCTCGCTTGCCTGAGCCTTTTGAATAACATCCCGCTGCACTGACAGCCTGAAAACATCGGCTGTGAAAGAAAGGAACACACAAAAAGGGCCATTTATGTTACGGTATGCTGCACCCAGAGATCATAAAATTGATCATTTGAGGGAGCATCATACTCAGAAGTAGTAAAAGTCTTCTGGCTAGAATAAACTCAGGCAAAAGGTCATGCTGCTTACAGCTAGCAAGCTGTATCATTGGTGACTAGTTTTTAGTAGAGAAAATTGCTTCTGAGCTGACAAGAAAAGCCTTCAGGGAATTATTAAATGATTTAAAAACCTCACTGCCCATTTTAAAAGGCTTGGTCTAGTGGCTATAAACATTTGTGAATCAATTGACAAGCTCCTGGCCAGTGAAGTTCAAACCTGCAACACAGGCAGTGAGGGAGGATCTTTTAAAAATGTGAAAATAATACTAAAAAAGGAAACACAATAATTCCAGACTCTACAATTAGTAGGCTAACTGGAGAGGCAGATCCACTGGTGGAGCATAAGGAGGTCAGGTTAGGCAGCAAGAGAGAAGTCACACTGATGTACAGTCCTGTTCTCTCCCCACTATAATGCAGCTCCTGCTGGATCTGGCTTTCTTGGGTGATGGCCAGCCCTGAATGAATGAGGCATGCAGGGCAGGTATTATTGGTGCTCACCAATGCAGGTGAGCTCATTAAAGCCTTCAGGATTGGTGGCAGCCTGGGCTGCAGCAACCAAGCCCTTGAGTCTGTGATCTCAAGGAGTGTGAGCCTGGTGAGGAGCAGAGTCAAGACCCTGAACTTTGCAAGAGCAAAATTCCAGCTGTTTAAGGAGCTGGTGAAAGAGATCCCCTAGGAAACAGTCCTTAAGGACAGAGGTGCTGACCAGAGCTGGCAGCTCCTTAAAGCCACTTTTCCTACAGTGCAAGAGCTCTCTATTCTAGTGTGTAGGAAATTGAGCAAGGCAGGCTATAAACTAACATGGCTGAGCAAGGATCTGCTCCTCAAACAGAGGAGTAAGAAAGAAATGCACAGACAGTGAAAGTGGGGACAGGTGACCTGAGGAAGGTACAGGGATATGGTTTGAATGTGTTAGGGCCCTTACCCTAATGGATAGTTCCAGGTTTTCAGGAAAGCCAAGGCAAAGCTGGAACAGGACTTGGCAAGGGACACAAAGAATCACAAGAAGGGATTCTATAGATACATAGGTCAGAAAAGATGCCCCCCCTCTGCACTGATAACCAAGAAAAGTGAACTGGTGGTGACTGATATGGAGAAGGCTGAGTTGTATTCCTCAGCCTTTGCTGGCAGTCAGGATCTCTATTCTCTCAAGACCCTGATCCTCTGAGTGAGTGGGGAAGAGGAAGGAAGTCCCTTGCCCTATAAGGGAAGAGCAAGTGGGGGATCACTTGATGGAACTGAATAGAAGTGAGGGCTTCAGGAAGAATTTAGAGCAGCCTCCCAGCACCTAAAGGTGACTTAAAAAAGAAGCAGTAGTTTTAAACTCAAAGAGAGCAGGTCTAGATTAGTTATTGGGAAGAAATCCTTTACTTGGAGGGTAGTGAGGCATTGGCACAGGTTTCCCAGAGAAGCTGTAGATGCCCCATCCCTGCTCAAGGGGATGAGGCATCATCCCTGAGGCCTCATCCCTGCTCAAGGCCATGCTGGATGGGGCCCTGAGCAGCCTGATCTAGTGAATGGCAATCCTTGCACACTGCAGGAGAGTTGGAATGAGAGGATCTTTAAGGTCCTTTCCAACTCAAACCATTCTCTGATTCTATGAAACACCGGAGCAAATATGAATGGGAAACTGCACAGCACCTACCTGTGCTCTGCCTAAATGCTTTCAGTGATTTTTTTTCTCCTTAAAAGCCTGTCATTGTGAAATGAACAGGAAGATAAATGATACTTTCATTCAAAACTGCTTACAAGTTTGTCCACTACCTTGTAGAAAGAATATGATTACAAGAAAAGGTACCAAAGCCAGAGAATTCCTGAGAACTGCAGCAACATTAACATTATTAACAACATTAACTCCATCAACAACATTCCCCACAGCTGCAAGACTCCCAAACAAAAAGTAAGCAAAAGTAAGCAAAAACCAAAGTAAGCAAACATCCACTTGTTTGTGATACAAGGGATATACAGTTCCTTGACCACCCCTGATCTGCCATGGAGACTGTACAGGTGTGGCCATTCTGTAGTTATTGGATGGTGTGTAACCTGCAGATGGTTCAACTGTAGGCGCCTGCCAGGGCTACACCACACATCTGCCTGCAAGCCTGTCCTAGCTTACAGGCTGCTGGGAATCCAAATTCCTGGAGGAATGTCTAGTCAGATGTCCACACCATGCTTCTAATGAAAAGGTAACTTATAAATAGTGGCATGTTGAGATCTGGCTTTCTCGGTTCAGTTGCTTCTGGATATGTCAGTTCAGGGAAAAAAACATACCTTTTCTGTCACTAGACCACTCAGATATTTTCCCTTCCAGGAGAGACTATAATTTGCCACTTGCCTGTGACTAACACTGAATATCCTCATGAACCCTATGAGGAAAACCAGAAACTGAGAATGAACCCTCTAGGACAGTCCTTTGAGCACACAATGCTGCAGGTTTCCACTTCAGATGCATCACAACCCTCCATCAGTGACAAAACAAATCACAGCTTGTTGGGGAGTCATTTGGAGAAGAGATTATACTCCATAAGATTGGATAACTTCAGCACAAAGCTGAGCTTAGGTACAAGTTTCTCTCTTTCCTTCTTGATCTGACAGCTCTTTCACTGGAAGGTTTAATAATAAGATTATCCCCTGCATCTGACTGCATACAGACACCACCACTCCTATTCCTCTCCCTTCACCTATCTCTACACAAACCTCCAAAACAAACCACTAGAGATGTTTTTACCTTGCTGATTAAGAAAGCCACTGTGTCATGCTTGTAGAAGTTCTCTTTAAAGGAACCCAGCCAGGTCTCTGCTATCCGGATTTTGTTCCTCACAATGGCCTCTTCATAGGAGAAAGCGCGGGGGAAGTGATTTCGATAGACGTGCCCAACTCGGGAGCATGGGATAATTTCTACAGAGCCACCACAGAGCCAGGTCTGAAACACAGGTGAAAGCACAAATAGAGATTACCTTATTTAGATTACTTCTATCTGAAAGGGAGAAGCTCCTTTACTCCAGGCTCTGCTTCAGGAAATGCTGGAGACAGCGGGAGCATTATTATATGCTTCTTCATACATTGCTCCCCACAGACACCGAGAAGATTCTGGGCATTGAGACCTCTGATTTGACCCAGTATGGCTATTAATATGCTTTTATGTTTTTCTGTGCACAAACAGTGCAGAGTAGTGGAGAGATCTGGGTGCACAGCTTCCCTTGTCTGGGACAATAAAAACACTATACCCCTTTGTGCCTGCAATTTTCATTGGTTTTCAATATCAGCTACTCTTCGTATTCAGCAAAAGTCAATGCAAAGGATTTAATATAAGCAATTTGCTATTAAAATTACAGGCTGCCAAAGAAATAAAGTTACTCTCCCTTTGGTGCATGCTAACATGCCAGAATAGAAGAGACAGCTTTCAGAGGGTGCCAAAAGCAGTGACTCAGGCCTCAGGCAGATAGTGATAGCCAGCAAACCTTCCTTCTTCTGACATAATGCTCCTAACTCACAGCAGCTGCATGTTCTTGTATAGTCCTGACAGGCTGTGGAGCATGGGGATTGATTTCTGCAGGGAAGGTTGTAGTCTCCATTACCCAACATGTTCTGCACTGTTTTTGCAAATATCTTCTTCCTTTTTCACTCAGGTTCCTTAAAATTGCAATAGTTACCACATCTTGATGTTTTAATTAAGGTCCTTACCCTAATGGATAGTTCCAGGTTTTCTGCTCCCCACATGGTCATGTCAGAATCATAAGCTCCAGTATTTTGGAAGTAATGTCGATCCATGGCCACCACTGCACCAGCTACTGCAGGACTCCTGTGTAGAAAACAGTTTGGAAGTGAACACCTTGTTTATGGATAAGGAATTACACAGAAGGTGAAAATTCCACCATTTCCATAGAGTATTACAAAATGATTCACTACTGTTCCATATAAGCTTGAATGAACTGATTATCTAACCAAAACTTGGAGAAGGGAGATAAGAGCTGAATTATCAAATAAGACTCAGAACAGTGGGGAACATTGCACACATGTACATTCAAAACAAGGGATAAACAGATCATGAGTAAGACATCTTTTTTAACTCTGTATGACATGTCTTCTGCTTTCCCTACAAATCTCCACACCTTGTCTAGTCAGGCTGTTCTCTAGTTGTGTCGATGTGTGGAAAATATTTGTCACATTGAAAGTGTGACTGCAGTCTAGTTAGAATGCTTACAAAAGGCCAAAAAACCAGCACCAACAAAAAACCTATCCCTTAAGAGTTATTAATTGAGCAAGTGCAAGTAACAAGACCTTTCTCTTGTTAGCTGGAAGATGACCCAAGATGACCCAAACTGTGCAGTTTTGCTGCTGAGCTGAGCAAGGCACATTGTCTGATGGACTGTTACCTGATAGGGCTGATGGGAGACTGTCGTACCTTCTCTTCATGCTCTGGCACTGGTTCCCAATGAAAATCTAATTTCCAATCAAAAACACCTCGATGCAAGCCCACAGAGTGATAGTACTGAAAGGTCTTCCAGTCTATGACATCTATGACAGGGGAGATGACACTGTTTCTGAAAAAAACAATACCACTTATTTCCCAAACCAAAGCATAAATGAAGTCCATTCCTCTCAGTAAACATTAGTTCTCCTCTTTGACAGTGCCAAGCACAAGCACTCCTCTAAATGCTGAGTGTCCTTAGTTTCCCTGCTGACAGAAGCTCATGCTGGGATTCTCATGCTCGTTGCATGGGAATACTGAGCTTGAAGTGAGGAATCTAAAGATCAATAATTTACTGATACCCTGTACCTTGCATTGTCATTTAACACTATCTAGGATTTTGTTAGGAGTTAGCCATCAGAATTCTTATAAAGCTATTTCACACAGAGGCCCCAGCCTCTGATGCTACAGGCTCTGCATGGATGCAAAGTTCATAGAAGAAGATGGTTTTGGCCTCTCACCCTTTACCATCCTCTGATTTTCCTGTAAATGTTGCACACACTTCATGAGTTTGTCACATCAGGCCAATAAAGGGTGCACTTATCCTTAGTTTGTTCTGATGGTTGTTTTGAAAAAATATTTATTACTGAGTTCATAAGCCAGTGCCTGTTTGTATTTTATCACAATCTTAGAATGCTCTTGCAAAGGCACTGTCCCAGGGTGGAACCTACTTTTAAGAGCAAGAACAGAACCATTACACTCTAAGTGACAATCCTTGATTTATTTCTAACTTCAGTTAAATTTGGATTAGTCTGAGAAGAGGTACTAGACATTTCCCTATGGCAAAGAAATCACAGTATTTCACAGCGTACTTGCACATCCTCTTGGAATGAACTGGTAGTTCAGAACAGCCTTCAGTGTTCCTTGTTTTCAAGTCAATGACATTTGGAAATTTTCAGAGTATGAATGAAATGGTGTTAGGGACTGCAGGGAAAAAGTATTGAAGAATAACATTATCCATTTCTTCTCTGTTATGCTAAAAGGATGGTCTCTGGTATCAGTGAAAGGCTGGTCTATGACAGAAGTTCTTCTGGAGAAAAATCAGTAATATTTAAGAGGGATTAAGGTACACTGGAAAAAATTATTATTAGACTAGGAATATCTATGTAGGAAATTATTCCCTAGGAAAAAAATTCCTGATAAAACAGAGAGAAAAACATGAAATGGTCAGTTTGGGGGCAAAATGTAGATGTTTTTATCTCCTCTTTTAAGATGTATATGTTGGTCAGAAATCACAAGGAGAGAAATTTGATTGAAACATAAGACTGTCAGGGAAGAAAGGACATCTCAGAAGTCTCCTGTGCAGTGAGAGATTTGTATTTTTCCATGGCAGAGGCCAGAACCAGCTAAGGAAGATGGTAGCTCTGGGTTATGATAATGTAATCTTGAAATATCTTCTATGCCTCTACAATCACCAGAATAATGTTTTTTCAGTATCAGAGTAGGGGGAAATGCCCAACTTTATTTCTTTACAGTTGACATTTCCTGTAGAGGCTTTTGTAGAAGCCCACAGAGTAAGACTACTGCTTTCTAGTTGAGACTACAAAGATGAACCATGCAGAGGATTGCTTTAATATGACCTGGGTTTTTTTCCTAGTAAGAGCAGACTGTCCCATAATGAGCTTAAGCCAGGAAGATTTAAAATAAAAAAGTGATTTTATTTCTCTGCTCAGGTATAAAATCATCCTTTATAACATGCAATAATAAGCACTCTTAGAAACAAGCATCTGGTTTACAAATAGGTGAGAAAATTTTATGGTCACATGCAGCATTTGCAGGCATTTACATCAAGGCAGTGAGTTCCTGTCATCCTTCCCCAGGGCTCAAGAAGAAATGGAAAGAAGTGATAGTAAAAATAAAAATAATAAAGCTGACATCCTTCCCTGATTTTCCTAATGATGTCCTTGTGATACAGTTTTGTATCCATGACAGGAGAAACCACCAGGACTCAAGCCAGCAGGGCCCTTTCTACTGGAAGCTTTACCCACTAACAGCATGCAAAGCAAACTGCCTGCTTCTAAAGGTGGTGTCCCACTGGACTCACACAAACAGGCATTTCTTTTCTTTGATATGCTGGGGGAAATCCATCTGACAAGTTAAATGGATTTTAAATTACTAAATGTCAAAAATGAAAAGTCACTGTAACAGTAATTTCTACAGCCTGCTGCATTCTCCGGTGTAGGAGAATCTCTGACAACTGCCTGGTGGGAGTGTCGATGCAGCTGCACAGTTCCCACCTCAGTTTGCTGCTGCTTGCTGAAACCCACACATCTATTGCTACTGGTTTATCCATTCTCATTCAGACAGGACTGAGGAATGAATGAGCCCAGAGTAGTTTATTTTATGATTTCAGATTCAAGAGGGAAATATCAGGAGGGTGTATCAGTAGAAGTCAGAGGCAATGTAGACTAAACTACTCAGAAGACCTTGGCCATGCAGACTAGACCACATGAACTGATCCTGGGTAGTTCAGATAGAGACAGACACACACAGATATAGTCTGGATCAGATGATCCAAACAATTCAGACTATTCTACATTTTCATATCATTGTAACTGTTTAAAACCTGTCTTTTTTTTTTAATCCACCTTAAATGTGTTGCCACTATAAAGCTCCAAACTCCAGTGGTACTTCTACCATGAGTGCAATTGCTGACAAGAGCAGGCACCACAGTAGTAATTCTAGTTATTGGGCATTGATTCTTCAAGATTTCAATTCAAGAAATATACCAGTAAGGTCATAATGGATTCTGATAGTTTGGAGACCAAGCAATTATCCAAACTATCTGCAAATTATGACATGGAAAATTACAGTGTTTAAATTGGAAATAACTCACAGGAATAGGCCATGTTCTATCCTGGCTAAATTCAACCATAGACAGAAAAAAATAAAATCTGATCTCCTTTCCCACAAAATGATACAGTAAAAACTGATAACTGTGTTTTAGAGCTACTACTTATGTAGCTTTTTCAGAATGCCAAGATTAACAATTTTCAAGAGTATGTTTGTAAGAGTAATGCTAGAGCTTCAACTGGTGTAAGTGTAATATAGTCATGATGTAGCTTTGCTGAAACCAACAGAAACACACCTTCTTAAAACTAAATATTGGGAGTCTTTCTGATTTGAAATAGAAGAATGTAATAACTTTATCTTGTGTGAAAATTGATCAATATTCAATTTTAATCCTAATGAAGCAGCGCTTTACCCATTTTTTGTTGGTATGATTTTGAAAAAAATAGCTGTTTTCTGCATATTCAAAGATGGTTTCACATTTGTGTAGTTCTAAAGGCAAATTTGCAGTCGATGGTAATTGGAAGATGTTCTTAGCTATTCTTTTTTTTAACTGGGTAACTGGCAGACAGCAGCTTCTCAGCACTTTGAAATGAAACACAAACTATCACTAATTTTACTCTGTGGAATCTGAGGGAAGGGAAAAACAGGAAATTCAAATACAACTAGCAGCAAGGCTTTGAACTGTTTGACTAATCTGTGAATATTTCAAATGCTTGGAACTCACACAAATTACAAAAGGTCACAATTCCATGAAAAAGAGCAACCCAAACAAGAACAATTTCCTGGTTTGGGATTTCTTTACCAAATACAATTGCAAATGAAATGTCTTCCCATGACCCTTTACAGTCATCATGGACATTATGTTCTTTTCTAATTTTAAACTAAGTAACATGGGGAGAGGAAGATTTAATTAATGTATCAGTTTTGAAGTATTGGATACACTTTTTTTGAAAGTGCTTTGGTACTGATTTATACTTTGTTTTGCTGGGAAGGGAATAGATTTTAATCTGTTTAAATCCTCCTTTATATAAGGAGAAAGAGAAATCCCTAAAAACTAAACATAAAAATGATGTGTAATTCTCAAACTATTTCAGGGTGTATCACAGCTTGCAAAAATTAGATAGCTAAGAAATCCAGGCAGTCCCAGTTCTCTGTTTCTGTGCCCAGTCAAAACTACAGTGAGTAACTGAGGACCCAAGCTGGTTCCACAAAATGCTGCATTTCCACTGAGAGCACCTTGCTGGCTAACTGAAGTCTTGGAAATACAGAGCACTTGAAATTAGATAGGGTTAATAAGAAGATAAAATGCAGTGATAAGGAATGTTATAAAGGATTACTTAAATACTGCCTTCCAGACCAACTCCAGACTAACTTAGGGCATAGGAGTCTACTCGAATAGCCGGAGTATTCATATGCTAAGCACTGAGCAAATCTCTGCAAAGCAGAGTGCTAGGGGAATGTTTCATTAAAAATAATTTTTGAACCTGCTTTTTTTTGCTAAAATATTAAAACTTGTATGTAGAGTAACAAAATCTGTAGAGGTAACTAACACCTTTTAACACTGGACAGTCAGGGCACTGAGCCATGAATTTTGCCTAAATCTTTATTGCTCCTGTGTTTAGCAGTAATATTCGCCTTTGTAGACTCATGCCTTTATTTTCTTTACCTCAACTTCTTTAAAATAGGTCACCTTCTGATCCTGATCAACTGTGAAAGACTGTAAAGAGATAGCTTACCTTTCCATAACCTACCATGTAAATGCAGAACATTTACTGAATTTGAAATGAGTGTTATTGACAAATGGGGGATGTAAAAGAATCAGGCAAATACAGAAATCCCAGGAAGAAGGCTGTTACATGTGAAGTGTATGGAAGGCTTTCAAAACTGGGAAAGCAGCATGGAATTGCATGCTCAGATGCTGGGGTTGTGTGGGCTTTGAATGGATAACATCCTGCTTCTCCAAGCCTGTGAGAAGTTAGAAAACAGATGGCTCATGTATTTGGTAGCTCAAAAAGCTGGGATATGGGCCACTGAAAAGTGGGGAATCAGACTAAAAGAGATGAAGAAGCTGTTCAGCTTCAGTGCAAAATATTTCCCTTCTCTCTTGTGTATTACCATAAAATCAGAACCACACTGAAAATTTCTGGACAGCAGAACTCTTTCTATTCCTGTATCTACAAGCAGAGGCTTCCATTTGCTCCTGATGGGAACACACAGATGATGAAACACCTTTCCACTGCTATGCTAATTTCTTATTCTGTTTATCAGCATTTTCATTAAAGATAAGTGACCTACAATCACAGCGCTAAGTAGAGGCACTTTGAATTTTAGAAACCAAATAAGCTCTTTTAAATAATGTAACAGATTTCTGTTTCCTAATCTAATATTTGAGCTGTGGCATAGGCAGCACAGAGAGAAACAGCCCTTGCAATAAGGAGCAAGGGGAGGTCCCAAGGCCCAGCTACCCCTTTGCAAACCACCCTTCTGTCCATAGCTATGGTGCCCAGGCCTCTTTTACAGGTGGAGTTCCTTGTCAAGGATATCATCAAGGTTCATTTTGCTTTCATGAAGCATTTTAAGGAAATATGTTTTGGATATTTTTTTATCATCCTGTTTCAGCACAGTGAGCACTGGTTTTAGATCAAAGGAACAACATTTTTAAGGCTTCATGGCACAGCTCATTATATGCCCCTCTGCCTTTCCTGCCTTTGGACAGAATACAAAATAGCAGCTCTGCAGTCTCCTGGAGAAGGCAAACCCATCCGAAGATGACTGTAATAATGGCACAGCTGCATTGTTATGCACCATGCTACTCACCTGGAATTAGCCTACAACACAAACAGTTGTCAAAGGAAATGATCTGTGGGGCATCCCATGTGGTTCTCTAATATTGTCCAGGTACCTACAGTATTCATCCTTGAATAATCAAAATGTCAAGGAATGCTTTAGAAACCACTGAACCATTCTCTAGGCAATATACTAAGCTGATGCACAGCTTCTCAGTCAATTTATTAGCCATGGTTCACAGAACTAGTCCCAGTCAAGGTGCTCAAAAGTTTATATTCAAAGACTTTGGAATTACTTAATTTTTTTTTCAGAAAAATAAATTAGATTGGGTTAGTGAATAAAGCCATCAGGCAGGGAAATGAAATGTCATTACCTAGAACAATTCAAACATCTGCCAAGTATTTCTGTATAAATATTTCTATACCTGTAAAACTGGGATAATTTTTTTTTATATTTATCCTACAGTCTACTAAAACTGAGTATCTCTCTTGTTGTGAGTGTGTTCAACTCACAGTGACATCTCAGTCTGGGCAAGGATCTCTCAGCGTCACTCTAAGGCAGATCACAATAATATTGACATACTTGGATCAGGAGTTTAAAAAATTAGGCTTAATCACTATTTTTAAAGTTAAAACCACTCTATAGCTCACTTAAGCTCCTGCAAAGGTTTGAGCTTTGAAAGGCTGCATTGGTCCTTGCCAGCAAACAACTCACTCACTCCAGGTGATTGTTTCCCCATCCTGTCCTTCCAGCAAAAGTGCATGAGTTACAGTTTGATCGGTACATTAGGAAGAGGAAAGATGAATATTTCACCAGTCAGTCTCAGCTTCCTGTGCTTTCCTCACTTGGGCAGTCTCAGGCAGTGCACATGATTCAATTTAACAGCTCCTCAAGTGCTAAATGAAGCCAAGCTGACTATGACAGTGCCTTACATTTCCATGGTGATCTCCATGCAAGCATTACAAGCAATTTATGAAAAGTCATGAATTAACTTCCTGATCAGGTCAGTGTAATTGTCACCATTCTTCAGCTGGAGAAAGAGGGACAGTAAGGGAAGGTGACTGCCAGGTGCCTTAGACCTTATCCTCCCTCCTCATTGGAGGATGTCACAGGCTCTCCTCACTAGCAGTGACAAAGCCTCCAGGGTCAGACACAGTGACTGATACAGCACACAAAAAGGGATGGCTTAACCCATACGACTATCCAATCCGTTTTCCATCTTTGCTTCATTAATCCAATTAGATCTTAGTTAATTCACTGTTAAATTCTGCTCTCCCTGGGGTAATGAATGAGCATATGGGCTCTATAATGAAGAGAATTCCCTTCTCACCCCCTGGTGACAGTGCTACAGAATCTCTGAACAATAGCCGACTTGGAGGCTTTGCATTCCCTCAGGAAGGATAATTTTTGACAGTGAATTTTTGACATTGTCGGGGTGTAGGGTCCTAACTTCTCTCTCTTGCTGTTGTAATTCTCCCTTCACTATAGCTCTCCTCTGAGACTTTGTATAACTCTTTTAAATTCAGCAATTTCAACACCCTTGAATAAGGACTGGCCAATTGATACACACAGTAGTTTTGCTTGAACATCAAAAATAGACTATACTTCAAGGCAGAAGAATCACGAAGTATATTCATAGTAAACCATCTAATTTGTCAACAAACAAAAAATAATCTGCTTTTCCAAGGAGGACCTTTTTGAAAAGAATATTCCTAACATTCTAAGGCAGCATTACTCTTGCTTTCAGTATTCGTAATGTTTTCATTCAAATGATGTAATAATTTCTAGAAGCTCACATTAATTCTCTTGTAAGCAAACATAATAAGCCATAAAAGCACCTTCTTCCAGTGCCTGGGAACAGCCTTTGAAGGTGTTTAGCATGACTATTTAACAGTCTAGTAAGAGTTTAAAAATCTTTTTTTTTTACCCTCTCTAGCAATTATTTTTTTCCCAAGTGACAAGTTAATGTACAATTTTTTCTTTCAAAAAGTCCCTTTAATAAAAGATTTACTGACATGTAAGCCTAGAAACATTTGCAGTGGTTTTAATGTCTTCAAAGGACTGCATAGATGAGATTAGCTGTACATTAGAAAGCAGGCCCAAGAACCACCCTAAACATCAAATACTCAGAAATATTAATCTCTACCTTACTCTGTTACTTTGGGGTCAGTGAAAGTACCTGTGATTAGCTAAACCTGCCTAGATTGCCCTGCAAGTCTGGGCTTTTTCTGTGGAAGAGAAATGGCAGCCAAAAGGTGACATGGTACACAGCCAAACTGGCTCAGGAGGACAAAGCATTTTATTCTTGCCTCCATTACTGAGACAGCTAAAAAGTAAAAACAATGGAGTCTTGCAGTAATTTTCTCTGGTGGATGTCTGCTGATTTACAAACAGGTTGAGACTGAAACATTTTAATTCAGACCAACAGGAAGCCTTCTAAAGCTTCTAAGCTCTAACAGGATACAAATTCCAAAATTTACACAGGGTGTAGAAGTGAGGATAATCAGCCATGAGACCTACCTGCTTCCCACATATCAGAGTGATGCATATGCTGATAAGGTAGAAAATAAAAGGGATGTGACCAAAAGCAAGAATGTAACCAAGGGAGGATTACAAAAACTACCCAACACTTTCCAAGCAGGTCCCTTTCAGCAGAAATCAGCACACGCAGGGATATTTACCGGCTGCTGGAGAGCCTGGCCAGCAGGGGCTCCAGCCAGCCCTTCTGGCACTCGCAGTGGGAATCCATGAAGATGAGCACGTCCCCGGCGGCGCGCGCGGCTCCCAGCATCCGACCGCGGATGACTCCAAGCCTCTTGTTGCTCCGGATGAGCTTCACACCGTCCAGCTTAGAGATGTGTTCACTCAGAGCTGCCTTCAGGGGCCCTGGCAGAAACACAACAGTCGCTGAAATGTTTTAGCTTTGATTCAAGCTGTTAGAGAAAAGAAACAGGTAGTAGGAGATGCTACTTCTTGCTGGGAAAATGTTTCAGGGGCGTTTGTTTTAAATGGCCAAGTAGGCCACATTTCAAATATTTCTGCGGCAGCATAATGTCAAAGGGAAGTAGAGACTAATGGAAACTGAGATTCACAAGTTATGAGGCTATTCCTGTGGGAATCTTAATAGCCTCCTTTCCTGTTTTCAGCAAAAGGTGGATGCTCTCATCATCTCATAAAATACACAGATGAGAGTGAGATACTACAGGTGTTTGGCTTTCCCAAGCACTTTGGATTACTTTAGCAATGTGGACTTTTCCACTCTATGCTTCAGCCAAAATCCAAGTCTGGAAATTATGACAGCAGACCTGGTCCAGTGGGAATCCTAAGATTTACAAACTGTGATCTTATTTTAAAGTAAGAAAGTTCAGAGTGGTTGTAAAGGATGTGGGGGAACAACAGAAACATATCTAAAAGTTGAAAGGCTATGCTGAATTCTAGGGATGGATAGTGAAATCTGGTAGCCAGCTCTGGGCTGTGCTTAGCTAGCTTCCTAGGAGTCATCTTTGCCTTCTCCTCTCCTCACGCATTTCTTGGAGGAGGACAGTTTCTTCCCTGAAGTTTTGGAAAAAAGAACTCACATAGAGAGAAATGGGAGCTACCTTGCTGGCTGAGATCGTCAACTAGGATGATATCCTTGAGGAAGGCCTTTGGGGCTGTATCCATAATGCTGTGCACAGTTCTCAGCAGAGTAGACCAGGCTTCATCATGGAAACAGATGATGACACTAGCAGTAGGCAGACTGGAGTCATATTTTTGCTGTAGGCACCTGCATGAGTGAAATGAGGAAGACACTGGAACCACTGGAACAAATGGCTAAGTTTTTTTCTCAGAGCAAAGTTGCAAGCAGCACCTAAACCTTCGGGGTGGAGATCTCAACTCACTTCTAAAAAAAAAAAAAGTACTAAGGTATATCCAAAACTGGAATATGAAGGGAAAATATGGGAATAGCAGTATCAAATTATAATACAAAAAGAGGAAAGTGTTCCTGTGTTCTGGGATAGATTTTTTTTTCCTGCTGTCTGCCTCAAAAACCAGAGCTCACACAGAAACAGTCCAGAATGTAAAGAAAAAGTGAAGATAATTAGAGCAGAGTGAGGGATAAAGCAGGCCAGCTTCCACTAATCTCCACATCTTCCCAAGTAAGAAAGAAAAGAGCAAGCAACTGCAGTACCATTAAGACTAACAAATGAAATAACTCATCTGCACAATAGATCAGTATACCTGTGGATTACCTGTACAAGATCCTAGAGAATGAAGCCAACATCTCAGTCCTTTATGGCAATGACATGGATCCTTACATAGGCCATGATTACAAATATAGATACATTTAAGAAAGAAAATGTATTTTCATTATAAGGTTTGTACAGGTTGCTTTTCCAATGAAAATGAATCACTGCTGAATGAGACTCCCAGCTGGGAGTCAGTGTGCAATCAAACCAGCAGAGCAGTCTGGAAGCAGGTGGCATGGTGCAAAGTGGACAGACAGTTTCGGGGGTTTGTTCCCTCATTGTTTTTCATTGTCTTGGGCTTGGGGAACACTGCCTGCAGGGAGTCTGCCATCTTGTCTTTGTCTCAGGAGGCCATGTGGCACTGGGTAAGGAGAGGGCCCACCATCTTGTCTTGGTCTCAGGAATAACTGCAGTACGCTGCCAAGCCACAGGAACATCCCCCTGCCATCTGTCTTTGTCTCTGGAATAACCACTGTCATTGCCAAGACACAGGAACATCCCACTCATCTTTGTCTCAGTGGCCAGGCAGAGCTAAGTCAAGGCGGTGAATGCCTTCTGTGGGTAAAGCACCTTCTCTTTTTGTATCTTTTTGTTATTAGATTGCTGCTGTCACTGTGTGTTTCTTTACTCCATTGCTGTTGGCTTTCAGTAAATTGTTATCTCAACCCACAGTTAATCCTTTGTCCCTCCCTCACCAGAGGGGAACAGGGGAAGTTTAATTCCCAGCTGGTGTTAAACCACCACAATAACTCAAACATTTAAAGATGATAAACACTTCCCATTCATCCTCACAGAAACTGTATATGGAAACCATCTATTCCGGTGTGAGGGTGCACATTTTCCAGAAAATGCCTTCAAATGCCCATTGTAGATATGCAAAGATTATGTCTATCGTTTGCTGACATTAGAAAGCACATTTAAAAAATCTTTTTATTTTCCAAATAACAGTCGTTCAGTGTCCTAACTCATTTAATCTCCGGCAGCAAGAATTTCTTCAAGGAATTACACAATTGGCTGAATGTAGCCAATTGTTATTTCAGCATTTTTGTATTGCCAAGCAAATAATTATACAGATTTTACAGTGGTTGTTAAACAATTGGCTACTCAGCAGAAATTCATGTAAGGGATATAATTTTAGTGTTTCTGTTTATTAGTGTTTTACTTAGTGCTTCCGTTCATGGACTGAGGTTCTATGCTGCTAGACACTGTCCAGACACAAAGCTGCTAATCACTTAAGAGATTGCATGGTCTGAATGATTTAATACACATAAATGATTGCTATAGATGCACTTTTATAGTATATTATAGAATAATATGTATATTGTAGAATAATATGTATTCTATAGAATACATATTTGAAATGAGGACAATCTTAATAATTTATTGTATTTTTCAATAGTTCACCTTTTTTGCATAGAAAGGAAAATTTTCTTGGTTATTCTTACACTAATTAATCTATATTGTCCTTGGTTTACTAATTTTGTGTAATCAACAATACTGTTACCTCCTAATTTCATATAAGGTGATTGTTTCCATTTTCAGCAGGATCAAGGAAAGAATATTCTCATGACTTGGGAGTGAGTATTTTCAAGCAATAGAATAGAGAAATAATTAAGAAAAGTGAAGATCTAATGCAGTCCTTTTGGTACCAGGCAGCTTCTAACCAGAAACATTCTATAGCTATTAGCAGCTAGTTGCTAGTTCTGTGGTTATAGCAAGAAAATAAAGCTGTTGTGAATCTTAATTGGAAAAGAATTGAAAATAACAGTACTTGAACACATAACCTTGGTGGCGAGTGCTTAGTTGCCATGGAGATTGGCAAAGACTTGCAATATAGATATCTAATCTTCACAAAAATGCACAAGGGTACTGGTACACAAAAATACCTTCCCTGTAATTTGGAGCAGTTTCATAGCCTGCCTATCATAAATTGGCATTTCGAAAAGTCAGGGCTGTGACTGATATGAGACATAGTGATTTAATCTAATTTGTGAAAAACAAGGAATTGTCACATGCAGCAAGGAACAGAGAGCAATTCTGACAAGGCAAAGGCAGAGCTGACAGGGACTCCCACTCACCTTCAGGAAAATATTTAATTGAGATTCAGCTCCAAACAGCACTCCAGAGGAAGCTATACTTTGGTAATGAAACTTAAAACTTTTGTAGATAACTTGTGAGTTTCTTTTGCCATTTGGCACTCAAACCCAAGAGAGGAAAACAGACCTTTCTTTTGGGCAGAACCCCCTTGATAAAAGTCACAATGGCAGGCTTGATTCAGGTGTCCAGGAGAGTGTAAGTCCCAGCTGGAGCAACTGATAGCAGCAGAAAGCACTTTGAGGGATGAAGGTACCTCAGAGCATGGGCTGCTTTTTATGTGAAGTATTTGCCATCCCATTCCAAGTGACCTGAGGGAGACTGGGTCCATGGAGGTAACTCACTGAAACATCTCTAACCGGTTGGCTTCTCTCTAATTAAACAATAATAGGCATTGTGGTGAACAACATGATGCAAACCGAATAGAAACACAGACAATCTGATTCTGGTTTGCTCTCTTTTTATACTGCTGTAAAACTGGACTGACACAGTTGTGAGCCAGGCCCCCAGAGTAAACTACACCTAAAAATCATCATTGTGGTTTATGTGTTGTGCCATAAAGGGCAGGTCTGGCTTAGACATATTCTGCTCCAGGTTTATGATCTGGATTTAAATCAGCCTCAGATGCTGACATCGGGGGTTTCTGGACTCTGTGAGCTGTGGTGTTGAGAACTCTTTAGGCTGTAACTAGTGTTTTGTGAGACAGCAAAATCCATCCAGGAGCTCTGAGACCATGGCTTAAGTGTTACCAAGATCAGAATTAACTAAAGCTGTATCTTGTTGGATGGCCCTTCAGCTGCCAATGTAAAATTGTTTTTTGGCTTTCCACCAAAGACAGTAAACCAGGGTAGTCATTCCTCCTTTGAACATTACATAGATTGAAGAGTTAGCAGTGAAGCATGCCAAAAAATAACTGAAATAATATCAGCATGTCATTATTTAATGGAGTTAACCAAATTAACACTGAATCTAGTCAGTAAGTACAGAAAACACTCTTTCATTTCTCTTTCTTTGAGATTGTACCCTTAAATTAGAGCTGCCAGCTGTCTTTAAACATGTGAAAATGAGCACTAGAAAAAAATGTATTCTGGGTCTGATATAAAATGTTTTCCAGTATGTCTTTCCACTATGTCCTGGGAGAAAACTACAATTGCTTTTGTTACAGGAGACAAGACACCACTCACATTCCTTGTGCTCCCTCTGGGAAGGGAAGCATATCACAGAATCAATTAGGTTGGGAAAGACCTCTGAGATCATCAAGTCCAGTCTTTGACTGATCATCACCTTCTCAAAGAGGCCACAGCACTATGTGCCATGTCCAGTCTTTCCTTAAACAGTTCCAGCTTCAGTGACTCCACACTTCCCTGGACATTTAATTCCAATGTTTAATTGCCCTTTGAAGAAATTCCCCCTAATGTCCAACCTGAACTTTCCCTGGGGCAGCTTGATAGTAGATACACCTCAAATCCTTTTTAAGAAGCGTGATGAGCTGGGCTGCTGGGACAACTGGCTCTGGAGTCTCCAGACTTCAAATGTAACACCTGGGGTTTCAAATGCAACATTTTTTCGCGGTGGCCTTACAGCCTGGCGGCTGTGGTGTCGGCAGAGCTTGTCTGACACACCAGTCTCCACTTTCCTTCCTCCCAGCAGTTTCCTTTCAATACTTGCCACAGAATCACAGGATATTCTGAGTTGGAAGGACCCACAAAGATCATTGAGTCCAACTCCTGGCCCTGCCCAGGACACCCTAAGGGTCACACCATTTGCCTGAGAGCATTGTCCAAATTCTCCTTGAACTGTCAGGCTTAGTGCCACGACCACTTCCCTGGGCAGCTGTTCCAATGCCCAACCATCATCTGGGTGAAGAATCTTTTCCTAATATTCAGCCTAAACCTCCCCTGACACAACTTCAGGCCATTCCCTCGGGTCCTGGCACTGGTCACCACAGAGAAGAGATCAGTGCCTGCCCCTCCTCCTGCCCTTGTGAGGAACCTGTAGGCAGCAATGAGGTCTCCCCTCAGTCTCCTCTTCTCCAGGCTGAGCAAACCAAGAGACCTCAGTCGCTCTTCACACGACTTCTCCTCCAGACCCACTGCCACCTTTGCTATCCTCCTCGACAGCTTCATATCTTTCTTATATTGTGGTGCTCAAAACTGCACACGATATTTGTTTAAAGTGAGGCCACACCAGTGCAGAGTCGGCTCCACTTTTATGAGTGACCATCGGGTCACTTTTGTTCTGGAAGAGCCGAAAGCCCCAACTCTTCACCCATTCATCACTTTGTAAGCCCAGTGACCCCATAGCTCCGGCAGGTGGGCTGAGACGGTGCCTGGCCGAGGAGGAAAGCCGCCTCTCCTGCTCGCCAATCCGGCGCGGCTTCCCTCCCCCTCTGCAGCCCAGCAGCCGGACAGACAGACGGACAGACAGACAGACGGACGGACAGACAGACGGACGGACAGACTGACGGACGGAGAAGGGCGGGGCCCGGGGCGCTCCCTGCCCTGCCGCCCCCGGCACCTGCCGTGACGCGGCGCCGGTAGGGGGCGCTGCCGCCCGCGCGGCCTCAGGGCGCGGCGGGGCCGGAGCGGAGCCGGGCCGGGCCGAGCCGGGAGTGCGGGGCCGCCGCGGCAGCGCTCACACCGCCCCCACAGGCTCTTCGCTCCGCGCCTCTGCTCCGCTCACCCAGCGAGCCCCAGCTGCCCCTCCCGCACCGTGCCCCCCTCCACCTTTGCCGCCCGCCGGCTCTGAGGGCTTGAACCACCTCCCGAAGGAGGCTGGGAGCGTTCCTGGTCTGAGGAGCGGAGCGCCCGACCCGGAGCGGGAGTTCGATAGGAAAGACGCGAGCTCTAGAGGAGGAGAGGTGCGGGGTTAGCAGTCGTGGAGGTGCGGGGGGACGCGGCGGCGGGGAAGGAGGCAGGTTTTCCCCCAGAAGTGAAATAGGGTGTTTTACTTACAACGGGTGTCGTACCTCAGGCAGGTCCCGGCGCAGCGCGATCCGCTCGCTGAGCGCCTCGTTAAAGCCGTGCGTTTCCAGGCCGAGCGGCCGCTCCCCCGCCGCAGCCCCTTGCCCGTCCTGCAGGGGCACGGACAGCGGCTGGGACTCGGGGCCCCCCTCTGCCTTCCCCTCCGGCCGCCTGCCTTGCTGCTTCACCACGCGATAGCCCTTCCTGGCCCGGCTGTGGTTCCTTTTGCCGGTGGGCGACACGACGGCCATGATCAACTCATCCTCCCGCAGGGAGATGAAAGGCGATAGACCATCCAGAGGGTAATACTGCTGGCTCTCCTCCTGGGTTTCCAGCATCTCTTGGGTCTCCACAAAGTCCAGCTGATACCCTTCCCGGGGGTTGAACTCCACAGGCTGGAAAGTCCCTTCCTTGCTCTGGTTGCTGGGTGGTGGATTCAGCGTTGTAACCATCAGTAGTAAAAACCCCAGGATCAGAAACAACAAGAGAAACTGCAGCTTACGTGATCCATATCTGCACTTCTTCCTCAAGAACATACTGTTGGTGACAAAATTATACAGATGGTCATGTTAAATATCACTTGAATCTTCCTCAGATTTCAGTCCTCGGGTTGCACAAAAGCCCTGGTTTTCACTATCTGCCAAGAGGATTTTTTTGCTCCCTTCACATTTCACTGAAGCCATTTCATTCTCTCCTCTCTATTTACAGAAAAAAAAAATTATAACATTCCTATTAATATTGTACTTACTGTAGTAAGATGTAGCATGGATCCAGCGAGATAAAGTAGATCCTTTATTATGCGGAGTCCCAGCTTAGTTAGGAAAGTGCATGCTTTGCTGATTGAAAGAGTAGCTAAAGCTTTGATTTTTTTTTCCCTTTTAAAATTCTAAGTTGAAAGAAATCCCATTTCTCATAGTTTCTTTCAAGGGTAGATTCTGCTTCTTCAAAGTTTCCAATTGCTGCCTGGATTGAAGCACTGTATCTCAGAAAGCAGATCTGACAGCTCTCCCCCGTTCAGAGGCTTCAAGTTAACTGTGATCAACAGATGAGAAGTAGTCGGTCCCTGACTTTGTTTCACACATAACTACGGCACTCAGTCAGGAAGCACTTTGCCAGACATAATACAGAGCAATGTGTGCGTCTTTCTCTCGGTCCTAATGCCCTCACTGTGCTTGTCCTATCAAATCAAAACTTTGCAAAAGCTGTAAGAGGTGACATACAAGAAGCAGAATGTTGTATTAGAAAAGAAATCAAGGCACACCACAGACTGCTATATGTTGGAATAGCTGTAATAAGCTGAGAATGCACAGAGCAAGAATCAAGAGTTTTATAAAGTGAATGAAAGATGGAGAGCACATGTTTTATTTAAGGTTAGATTTATTCATATGATAATGTGTTAGCTGGACTATATTTCATATCAAATAAATATTTACAGCTCTAGGGATTTTAACATTGACATAAGGGTGCCAAATTATCACCTGGCAAGCTGAAGTTGTCTCCTCATCCATAAATTTGGTATTGCAGGGCAAGCAGCACTTCAAGTTTTCGTTAGTCCAGGAATAACATATATAAAAGCCTTGGCTGGAACAACAACCACTGACACTGAGAGAAAACAACAACTTCTGTGATTAAAAGGAGAGCTCAGTCTCTGAGGTCTGTTTGCTCATACTGCTGGCATGGGTGCTACTGGGCATGGACAGTGGCATTTTTTGCTGCAAGATGAGTGCTTGTCCAATGGGAGCAGGGGTGAGACAATCCACGCGCTTCAGCATCACATGCCTCTTGGTCTGGCAGGCAGAGACCAGGGATGGATGCAACTCAGGTGTTGCCACCCCTTTTGATGCTGGGGGCATGGGATGTGGTATTTTTCATACCGTGCAATATTTGATGAGCAGAAAGCTGCTCCAGGAGGCATGTGATTACTTCCCCATTCACAGATTTTAAAAAAGCCCTACATTTCTAGACATTATAGCTAAAAGAATAGCCTGAAGACAGGCATGCAGTATACTCTAAAGAAAGCCAAGGATATATTATTTTTACCTTCTTTGCTATTCCCTCTAAGATGTCCTGTAAGTTCAAACTATGGTTCCTGGCATACAGTTTCCAAAAAATTAAACATGGGAGGACACCTACTTTCTAATTAAAATGCATCACAACTTTCAAACGCAAGGATGGTGTAGAGCACCATAAGATTGCTGGAGGCACATAGTGTCTCACTTCTGTGTGCACTTCTCTAAGCAGCTTATACAGAATGCCTTGAGGGAGTGTGACTGGTCTGCTGTGTCTTGGCACCTTCCCTGCATCAGCTGTTCTTTAAAATATACAGAACTGCTTTAATCATATCTTGGAAAGAAGGAAGATTGAGCCAGTATTTTGATACTTCACCATTGTATGTATCTTCCTTTTTTGGCTTAAATTCACACAAAAGTTACATCCCAACTCACCTTCAGCCCTGAGAACATTACTTTTTATCCTGCTTTTCATAGGGAAAAAGAAGTATTGATGGTTTCAATTCAATAGGGAAGCAGCACACATTTGCATTAAAAAATCAGAGCTAGAAAGCACTCATTTAAATAACAATGTTTCAGCCATAGAAAGACAAAATGAAATGGAAATGAAGAGACCTGTCCGAGATGTTCTCCAAAAAGCTGGCCCAGTGACGTCAAAAGGTTCAGTTCCACAAAGTCCCATTATCAGGCATATGGAATAAAATTAAATTAAATTAAAAGGAGAAACTTAAGAGTGGGTGGAATAAATGGGAGAAAGCATTACTTTCTCTTTTTTTAACTTTTCTGGGCTAGCTCAGTATTTTGATTCAATTTAATTAATATTTTTTCCCTGGCTAAAATATTTTAACAAGATGCTGTAACAAGTCTTATCAAGATAATTCCAGCCTGCAGTAGAAATCGCTGTATAAATTCTGTCCCGGTATGTTTTGTATTGCTGAGCAAATCCACCTCATCTGAATTTCAGCTACAGATGAAAAGACACCCAATTAACAAATTTACAGCAATCTTAGACACTTTTGGGACAGAGCTGGTAGGTAACATTATCACTGAAACATGCCTGTGGAATCCAGCCTTTTAACACATCCTGACCATTTTAACAAAGAAGAAATGAACAATTGCAGAAGATGTTTGTTCAGTCTAGTCAATTAAATGTGCAAGTGTAAAACACTGGGTGGCACACTTCCAGCAGCCTCTATTCCCTCTTCTGCACAACAAGCCTTCCTGAACCATTTCCCATCAAACAGTCTGTTTTTCAATCTTATCTCTTAAAACAGTGGTTTTCCACTGCCATCATATGAAAGAGATATTTTCTTTCCAATGGATGAGCCTCCCTTTAGTATCTGACAGGACATCTTGTTTCCTTCAATGCATTTGAAGAACAGCATCGCTGTTATGATCTCCCCACATGGAAGTCAAGAATGCAACATCCATCGTATTTTTCTTCATACTTCTGGTTACTCAGACATGCTACAAAGTAGGCCCTTCACTGGGACACAGAATGGGTTGCTCCTCCTGCCTAGTTGTTGATGATTCCCTTTCCTAGGGTGCTCTCCTTCCATCCTTTGATGGAAGGGGAAGGAGCACTGCATGGCTCAGGTTCTACTGTCACACCCAGAGCCATTGCCTTCATCCTGAGTTCCAATCTTTTAGGTGCTGCTATGTACAGATAGCCCACAAGCAGGCTGCCCACAAAAGATACTGCTGTCCTTGGACTGCTGTTCTACAGCAAATCCTAGAGCTCCTCAGTCCCTGGGAAAGGAACATGTTACAGTTTGTGCCAAATACACCAGCAATTGCTCACAAAAAGAGCCAGTTTGCAGTGTCAGTATTGGCCAGTGCCAGTATTATGTTGACTTTCCTGCTGGTCAACCTGTGCAAGAGCTGAAAGGCTTGTAATCCTACCAGGTCTTGCTCAGGTGGACCTAGTGGTAGAAATCCCAGTGGTATAAATACCTTCAGCAAATGCAAAGTCAGTTATTGACTTCCCTAAGAAAACATTCACCATCCTTCACTATTGCAAATATTGCTCATTAATTGCCCAGAGCTGGAACATGAAATCAAATCTAGGTCTCATTAATTCAAAAGGCATTAGGAAACACAGTTGCCTTACTGCAGAGCAACAAACCTTTCAGTCACTGTTCTGTAGCTGTTTGTACTTACCCTTTCCTCCCCACCTCATTTTGGCTCGCATTTTTGTCCAAACCATTCTGCATCACATACTTGTTCAATATTACGTGACTTGTTATGTTATCCGTACGTGAAGAAACACCACATACTTTCAGTGTACAGAGCCCATGTTTAACTGCCAGGAAAATAACAAAGCAAGGACAAACCCAAGGCTGGATGGAAGAAAGAGCATGTGGACAGGTTGTTACTGACTCTTTAACAAACATCTTGGATTGATTTACACTCCTATGCCAAAAGCAGATGTGCCACTTCCATTTAAAGACTCAACACATAGCAGCACTCATGGTTTCATAGCTGCATGTATTGTATGCCACAGCTCTTTGTGCTTGTAACAATGGCTTTATTTGCACAGATGTGAAGAAAGTCAGTGCATAAAATGAGACTGTTTACACGGTGCACAGGATTTGTGGTGTTTTTGTAACTAAGTAATTTTCCCCATTTTTCTAAGAATATAATAAGGAATATATGTTTTTAGATCAGAAGAAGACATCATTCATTTGCAGGTATTGTAGATGGTTTGTGTGCATGGCATTGTAGCAAATATTGCTCATTCAATGATATTTTCTAATAGCAAGTTAATAATAAGTTGGAACAAGTTCTGTGGAATTTGCTTTTGAAGGCTATAAAAGCTTGATAAAATCTGTTGATCACTGGCAGGGAATTTGGCACTTGAATTGTGATTTATAAGATGTTTGCCAATCTGTCAGTGAAGGAAATGCACCTGAAATTTCATTTTAAAAGATTGCTGCTCATAAATCATGTCCCATGTAAAATGGAGCATGGAAGCCATGGACCCTTGCACTGCTTTTCAAAAGCAGTTCTGTGGGGATGAAGGTCAGGCACACAGGATGGAAAGTAAAGGAAATACATATCACAGGAGGGACAGCTTCTGGGTTTACTGCACCCCAGCCTCTGGCTAACTCAGAAATGGTAGCTCTCAGGACATTAAGGGCAGTATTGTGTACCATGCCTAAAACCTAGCCTCTAACACAGCCCTGCACAGCTACCAGCTATCTGTGAGGATGAGAACTGTTGATCATCATTAAGCCCCTAGAAAAGTTACATCTGAAGTGCTGTGGGCAATACACAGGCCACCACCACCTCCTGCCTCTTAATCAACCACTATCAATATCCTCAGGCTGGAGAGGGTTCTGGATACCTTTAATCCCCAGTACTCCACCCTAAGGGAATCTGAATCCAGTTCTGAACTGGTTGTGACTATTTTAGTGCCAACATCCTTCACTAGAATATCATCCTGCATTGACCATAAAATGCATCTAACAGCATCTAACCCACCATTAGGGATATTGGGACTAAGTAGTTGGCTCTAAATTGCAGGTAGAAATGGAAATAAGGTGGTTTACTCTTTCAGAGTGGCTGACCTGGCCTCCTTGTCTTTAAAAAATGAAACAAATTATGTAAGGGAAATTGATCCTTCACGTAGTATTAACACCAGTGGTGTTACATCACAGATAAATTCAGCCCTATGGATGGAAGGTCATAAGAAGGAATCCTCCATGAGAGGGGAGGATCTCTGCCTGCAGTTTCATTTATGGCTGGAATTTACTTTCATGGAACAGGCCATGAAACCATTTGCAAACAGAAATCTCAAAAAACCCGAGTGATGCTAAAGGTATACACAGCAAAACCTTTTTTCTGCACCAAGGGCTCTTTAGCTGGTGGGCAGCTTTAACTTCATGTTAAATGAAGTTTTTACTCCATTTCTTTCTGCACATACAGGTGGTACATAAACTGCATGTGTCTCTCAGAGACTCTAAATACAGACAGCATTTAAAAGTCACAATATTCATATGGAAATCCTGTCCCCATAGTAAGTATTTTTAGTTAAAATGGTGTTTAGTGAGGAGAAAAAGCTTTAAATGGTTCTGGCATTTCTTCACACATTTAAGTGCTTAGTGACATGTGGTTGCCTACAGATTGCTCCTGATTCAAGGCAATGCTCAGCCACATCACCTAAGCTGGAAATTACCTTTTTTTATTCCTCCTAAATAGTTACATATTTATGTGTAGCTGGTACAATAAATAGTTGTTCTTC